TTCGTCCTCTTCTTCCGACTCGTTGGCAGATTCAGAGACAACTTCAAATTCAATTTCATCTTCAGAGATTTGTTCTCCAAAGCATATTTTGAAATTGTTTTCATCAAGCATTTTGATCATCTTTTTGGCATTTTGCCCTTTTTGGGGGCAGTTTGGTGCTATGTGACCGTCTTCATTGCAGATGTAGCAACGACATGAACTCTTAGGTTTGCTGTTATTTTTTCTAACAAGATACATTTTCTTCTTGTTGAACTTCTTTCCCTTTTTCCACTTTTTCCAACGAAATCTTTTCTTTTTGAAAAATTTATTTTTCTTTCCTTTTGCATCACACCCAAATTCTAAATTGTTTTTTAGAAGTTTGGTGCAGTCGTTTATGTTAAGTCCTTTTTGAGGTGAGAATCCAAACTGACATCTATATTTATGTTCTATAAGTATAGGTATAACAACTTTTTCTCCTTTTTGGGTCAACGTTATTTTGTTTGATAAGATCTCAATCGGGTAATGATTTTGCAAAAAGTTGTTTCCCAAAATAAAATCTCCATGCATGAATGGAAAACATAGTATCTTAGGGATGAAAATTTTTTAATTTCCCAGCCAGACAACAATGTTTTTGGCTTTGTACTCTATGAGAATATTGTTCCCATCGATGCCAGTTGCATGGAATGGGCTTTGCATTCCTTCCCATTTTTCTAATGGTAACACTGTTGGGCAACAGGCGCATGTGGTAGCTCCTGTGTCAACCAGAATATCAAGGTGATATGGTTTATAACCCTAAAAATTAAATGAACCCAAAACGAACAAATATTTTTTCTTACTTTGGTTATGAGAAAAGATTATTTCTTCCCCATCTTGAAATTCGATTTTTGAAAACAAAACAATAGTTTGAAGATCTTCTTTTTCATCATCTTTTGAATTATTGGTGTTTCCAGTTTCAAAATTGCTAGACAGTCCAGGAAAAGAAATGTTTTTGAGAAGTTTTTGTTTTCTGTTTAAAGATATATCTTTTGTTTTAGATAAATCTTTTATTTCAAAAAATCTTGGTGCTGGACTGCTTGGTACTGATTGACTAAGACTTTTGGTTAAAGTTCTTTTGTCAGAAAAGTACAAATTTTTACCAGATGCTTGAAAAATTATCGGCTGCAGGTCTTGGCCGTAATTTTCAGAAATACTATCAACCAACCAATTTCTGGGAATTTCTGGGAATTTCCAAATCCTTCTAGTTGATTAACCGGGGCTGGTTTTCATTATCAAAATTTCGTGGTTTGAAAATTTCGACAAACCTGTTATCAATATTTTTTGTTGAGGTTCTAGTTTCGCTTGTAAGTTCGTGGATGGTTTTCCACTCAATTGCAAGGTTGAAACTGTTGTTCTTCATACGAATGTTTTTGGTCTGAATCAGAATCCTCACACCATCCTGGATGTTTTTATCATGGATAGAAATGTAATAATTCAGTTTTATTTTAAACCAAATTTTCTAGTGACAAGATTAGATTGCATGCCTCCTATTATCGCTTTAATAGGGTCAATGAATCTTTTGTCCAAAACAACGACGAGGATTGGTGTGTCAATGCCCTGTCTGAAAAGTGTAGTGATTTCAATCAAAATGATTCGTATGTGCATGTATCTCAATCTTGGAAATTTTTTGATCATTTTGGAAATCTTGCTTTTGTCAAAAATAGGAATTTCTACAGATCCAATTTCAGTTGCTCTTGCAGTGGTGTTTCCACTGAAGCGCTCAAAGTGTCTGATGTTCCAGAATTGGAGCTTCGCCATTCTGTAGATTTCTTCCTTTTTGAGATTTTTCAATTTCTCAACTTTTTCTTTGTCGATGAAGAATTCTTCTTGAATTACATCACCGAGTTTTACGACTTGTTCAAAAATCTCAGAGTTGTTCTTCGAGTTTTCTTCAGGATGCATCATGAAAACATATTCATCCTCTTCTTCCGACTAGCTGTCAGATTTAGAGGCAACTTCAAATTCAATTTCATCTTTAGAGATTTGTTTTCCAAAGCATATTTTGAAATTGTTTTCATCGAGCATTTTGATCATATTTTTGGCATTTTGCCCTTTTTGGGGGCAGTTTGGTGCTATGTGACCTTCTTCATTGCAGATGTAGCAACGGCATGAACTCTTAGGTCTGCTGTTATTTTTTCTAACAACATTCCTTTCTTCTTGTTGAACTTCTTTCCTTTTTTCCACTTTTTCCAACGAAATCTTCTCTTTTTGAAAAATTTCGTTTTCTTTCCTTTTGCATCACTCCGAAATTCAAAATTTTTTTTTAGAAGTTTGGTGCAGTCGTTTATGCTTAAGTCCTTTTTTGACTTGCTTGGTTGCTTTTACTTCGATGCAGTGATTTTTTATCATGTAGAAAACAAATCTGATTCTATTTTCGAGAGTATCTACTGGTGCGGTATCAGTAACATACTTTTCGTATATTTCGGTATAAATCTCATCCGATGGAGAAGGTAGTTTGTTGAAAAACTGATTTTTTTCCAAAATTCATATTTGATTTCATCTAACATTTGGTACCATTTTTGAAATTATTTTGCAAAGCGCTTAAAACTTTGGATTTTGCAAGGTTTTAGCTTTGTGAGACAGTAATCAGAATCTTCTTTTAGATTCAGATCTAAAGCAGTGCCACATAATTCCTCTCTTAGAAGTTTTGTTACTTCTTTCAAAAGGTCTTCTTTTTTCTTGTCAAAAAGTTCTTTTTGCGAACGGATCCTTTTATAGTTTCCTCCCAATTTCGAAGATATTGTAAAGCATCACCTTGCATAGTTCTCGCTAGATAGTCGAAAAATCTATCAGTGGTCTATGTAGGATTGTTTGTTATAACAATAGTCATGGATTGTACCCACTCGTTGATTACTTGTTTGTATTCAGAGAAGGGAATATTTTTAAGATCCAAATATGTTCTAGTGACCGAAACGTATATTTTGTTTAGATCTTCCCGTCTGTTGTTTATAGTGGGAATTGGTCTTTCAGATGCTGCAGACATTTGAGGTTTTTCCTCGGTGGTCTGGCAAAAATCTTCTTTGTTAGAAGCTTCTTTATATTTTTGAAAATTTTCAAAATTTTCTTTTTGAAACTCCTTAGGTAGTCTTCCCATTCTTGGGCCGAATGCCTTTTAGATTCGGGGTAGGAATCTAGGTGATCTGGCAATTGAACCTTTCTTTTTCCTTTAAGTTCTGGATCTGGTTTTCAACTTTTTCTTCAGAATCTGATTCTGTATTAGACTCGATCGTAACTTTAAAAACTGAGAACGACTCATCTTCATCTATGTTTAAGACGAGATGGTAATTGTTTTTGATCACGAGTTTTTCATTTTTAAAAAACAATTCTTGCATACTTCTTTGAAGCTTTGATCTTTCTTCAAAATTAGTTTCTTTGATATACCAGGATTTCCAGTATTAAAGGATTTCTTTGATGGCTTTGAAATCATTATACTCTTCTTCAAGGGTCAGGATTTCAGTCCCGAAGTAGAGTGACTTACGTGGTTCGTAAGTCTCATTGAAAACATTATTTTCATTTAAAGATGGTTCAAAACGTTTTAGCAAATTTTTTGACTCAGGGTTTAAGTCTATACTATTTATTTTTCCTAAGCTACCTACTTTATTTTCTACTTTAGAAATCCCTTCTGAAATGTTTTGTTGTTTTTTTGAAATATTTTTAAACCATTGATTGCAGAAATCAAAAAGTCCATTTACACTCCTACTAATGCTTGAAATATCTTTTTCTTCATTTTTATCCAATTGATATAGATGCTCAAAATTATTTTGATCTAATTTATTTTCTTTAGCTAAGCGGTCTATTTCTCCCATGTTGTTTTTCTTGGCACCTAAGGCCTTTTGTGATAAAATAGTTTCCTTTGAACAAAACGGCCTAAACGCGCTCTTGGCTAAACGGCCTCACAGTTTGAGAAACCACATACATGCGCATGGGTTTTAGAAAAACCGAAAGAAATAAGGATGCCTTGCTGAAGAAATAATGTAAATCAAATTAAAACTGAACATAAACATTATAAAGATAATAGAAATTAAAATCTTACTAGAAGAGATGTCAAATTTCACTTTATATATTTGAATAGTGACTACAAGCTCTGAGCTCTAACAACAAAACATTTACAAGCTCTGATACCAGTTACAGACATGCGGAACCGCAGTTACAATAGTTAACTTGATTCTTGTTGGAGATTTGTTCCTTATACTTGATTTGTTTGTAATGGCTAAAACGACGATGAACTTTACATGCTTGTAATGACTAATACTGGGTCTTCTAGAGTTATGCCTGGAATTTTCTGTCTATCTCCAATTTGTGGTTTGTCCACCTTTGAATGACTTTTGGCTCAATAAATAAGTTTTTAGTAGTGCAGCTTCTTGCACCATTATGGATGTTTGCATTGACCTAAATGACACTTGACGCTAATTAGTTAAGGACAGTGATAAGTTAAGGTGCTAATACATAGTTTCTTAGCCTTTTGTTTCGAGGATTCGTTTGATGTATGTTTTGGGGTTGACCTTGAGGCTAAATAAGTTGTTACTAAGGCAGTCCAATAGAGGTGCTTGAACTTCGATAAGTAAATAAGTGGCTGTAGTTGCAGACCCACAGAGTTTCCTATCGTAAATTTGTATGCAATTTTGAACTTTCCCCCTAGCTTCATTATATAGATGGGCTGTATTTTTGAATCTGATTTCCATTTCTTTTCACTTCTAATGTCTGCTGTTATGCCCTTGATTCTATTTTCCACAAAAATTAAGTCGATTGTGTAGTTCAACATAATTCATTTTTTTTGCATTTCAATGTCATCTTTTGAGTGGTTTTGTTATCTGTGACTGATCATACACAGTTTCTGCATTTGTTTGTTATTCTATTGATAATTTAATCCATACTGGGAATCTATTTGATAGCAGGTCCTCAAGTGAACTTTTTGGTTCTTGCTATAGGCTAAGGGCCAGTTTGCTGAACTTCGAGTAAATAGGAATTTTTACATCTCTCTGCAGGTTGTTCCCGTGCCATTGTCTAAAGCTTCGTACCTCCGAGGGCATTTTATTTCTGCTGCAAGAAAGAGTGGATTTGAGTTTGAAGTAATTAGGCCTGGTGAGTTTATAACATTTACGAAACCATTCTTGTGTATGGCTATATCGGTTTATAGTGCAGGTAAGTTATTACTTTTTAGAACTTGTTTTTCAGGGGCTATAATATTGAAAGGGTTGCAATTGTGAGGGTCTATGAGCTACTTGGTTTGTAACTGGTGTGAACTGTACTGTCAGGGATGTACTAATTTATTTCTTGGTTTTTCTTTTGAGTCTCTTCTATTTACTTAGCTGTTAGTTACATTGTTGGACTCTTGACTGATTGTTATTGCCTTTTCTATTTTATACTGAACATATGTAGATTTCATGTTTCATTACTTGTGGTTTATAGTCTAAAATGAGTGCAGAATGTGACGTTAGGTAGACAGTGAGCTATCAGTTCATTTCTGGCAACTTCAAATCATGATAGGGTACTTAGAAGTATGCCAGCTCTTTATTGTCTCAAGCTTTAGCCGTCTAGAGCAATTCCTTGCTAGTGTACTCAGCAATCGTGAACTTATGCCATATTCAAGAATCCGACATGGCTCTTGCTTCCTTGCTTTCCTCTTGTTAAAAACTTGTGCTTAACATATGTAGATTTCATGTTTCATTACTTGTGGTTTATAGTCTAAAATGAGTGCAGAATGTGACGTTAGGTAGACAGTGAGCTATCAGTTCATTTCTGGCAACTTCAAATCATGACAGGGTACTTAGAAGTATGCCAGCTCTTTATCGTCTCAAGCTTTAGCCGTCTAGAGCAATTCCTTGCTAGTGTACTCAGCAATCGTGAACTTATGCCATATTCAAGATTCCGACATGGCTCTTGCTTCCTTGCTTTCCTCTTGTTAAAAACTTGTGCTTATCCATGCATGTTTCATCTTCTTGTGCAACCGTCTCAAACTCACACCAGCTATCAGAACATGCATGCCACCTAATCATTGAGTGCCTTCAATTTTTATTTATTTGAGTGTAATGCTTCTAGTGAAATATTATTTATTTCTATTCCAGATTCTCTGGATGAGTTGATTTTACAACTTGTAGAAGTTATGCTTTTGGGCATTAGACGCTCCTTATGATGGACAAAAACTGGATATCTCTCCTCTTACACTTGGTTTGCATGAGTACACATTGAAGCCCTGTTTGGGTGCACTTATTTTAGCGCGAAATATTTTGTATTACTATAAAAAAATAAGAGGCCTGTCAGCATGGCATGCCACAATTCGTGTTGAAGTTTATGCTTTCAAACCTCGTTTTTGTCCAAAATGCTTCTGACACTTCCTTACTGTACAAGGAAGAAAACCTGTTTTTCCTGATTTCGTAAAAGTGGGGTTTCTTCATACGACTCTGATCGTTTAAGATTTTTCCTAGATAGCTAAAAATAGCTTTGGCTATGACTCTGAGGATGTCGAAACAGAGCCTAAGCGTATCTTTTTATGGCTATGTTTAATTTCTTAGAGTAAAATTTTAATGTTAATCAGTTGATATGCTTTCATTTGGTTTCATTTTAGTAATTTTTGTGTTTTGTTGCTTTTGTAGATGATCATGGCAATGATGCATGGAAGGATCTGAAAAGATCATTTGATGAGAAATTCAGTTTTTTCTATGTGGAACTTCCAGAAGGTACCATACTGGCACATTCTGTTGAGGATGAGAAAGGAATATCTCCTCATTTTGGACGCGAGGTATACCACTGTTGCCTGTACTTGTGTTATTATGTTTATTGTTACAGTTTGGACTTTGTTCATAGAAGAATATAGAGGGAGGACTGCAAAAGCAAATTTATTTATTCTGGAATATCGGTTCTAGACCAAAGATAGGGCACATATATCTTGACAATGAGGCACATTCTCGTTGATAAAAATAAAAGACATAAAGCAAAGGTCAAGAGATGGCAATCAACATCTCAGGATACTAACATTAAAATTTTGTCAGCGTAGTGATTGTCGATGATCCCTTCATTTGCATGGCTCAGAATGTGCACAAAAGTTACATTTTACAGTCATAAAAAATTTCACCAAATATCATAGTCCTCCTGAACAAAACAGGGACTCTTTACGGGCTTCATCTTATGGCATTAACATAATACCTTCCCACTACTAATGGACTCCTTAATGAGTTGTTTGGGATACTTCCACATGCAAATCCTTCTTATGCATATCGAAGTTTTGATGGCCTATGTTCTTTCGATACTTAGGGTCGATAATCCAGGAAAATGGAGAGGTTGAGCAAGATGTTGCATATAGAATTAGAGCTAGGGGGCAGAGTGGAGATGTGCAACCGGAGTTTTATATGATCGCTGCATGCCAATGAAGTTGAAGGGCAGGTTCTATAAGGCAGCTGTAAGACCAGCCCTACTTTATGGGGCGGAATGTTGGGCGGTCAAAAAACAATATACTCATAGAATGAGTATAGCTGAGATGAGGATGTTGAGGTGGATGAGTGACAAGACAAGAAGGGATAGAATTTGAAATGAATACATTCAGAAAAATTTAAGTACGGCACAATAGGCGATAAGATGAGAGAAAGTAGACTTAGGTAGGCTGTCCATGTATGGCGCAGGTCTTGTACAACACATGTTAGGATGTGTGAGTTAGTTCAAGTGGACGGCTAAAAAAGGGTAAGGGGTAGGCCCAAAAGGAGATGGTCGAAAGTATTGAGAAAATGTTTGGGGACTTATGGTCTGACTGAGGGTATGGATATTAATAATGTAGAATGACAAACTAGTATTCATGTAGCCAACCCCAATTAGTTGGGAAAAGGCTTTGATGATGATGAAGATATTTTAGGTTTAATTTTGGAGATTATATTGAGGATATCTATATGCTCAATACCTGTCGTATTTGTTCATTCCAAAAAAAACTTGGAAAGAGCAAAAGCAAGCTTTTGGTAGAACTAGCCTTGTGCATCAAAGTGCGTGTGCGCCTCTTTCTTACTCCTCTTCCCCTTATTCTTAACATTATGATATTATAACATCCGCTAATAAGTTTAGTAATGATATTATGCTACAGTCATAATATTCATATTTTATATTTTTATTAATAATATTTATTTATATATTTATTATGAAATATCATCAACATCATTAATATTAGATTATTAAGTTATAATATGGTATTATAGTATAATATATTATACTATATTAAGAACATACAATGGCATTATATTATTATAATGTTATGGTATTATCTTAATAAATTAATATCATATTATATTAATATTAAAATATTGTGCATTTTATGATATTTTATTATTGTAATACTATATTAATACCAAATTACTGATAATATGATATTAAACTATAACATAATTATTATAATAATGTTGTTATTATATTTATTATAATATTTTTATGTAATATTTTTGTTATTAGTTAAAATATTTATTATTGGAACAATGATCATATAAATAGTTGCTTAAATAAATATCTATTATAAATAATAACATTATGAGTAGAATATATTCTTTTGGTCATGTGGTACTCATAATTTATGTGGTACTCATAATTTTAATATTGTTATTTAAGAATTACATATTTCACAAAATTTGCTCGCAAAGGTTTTGTTCGCTTAAGCAATATTTTTGAAAGTATTCGAGAGAAAATATTCTACAAAATAAGATTTGAATCGTCTAATTTGTTCTCATATTATAGATAACTTATTTCCAAGAAATCATTTCAAATGGTGAGATACCAATGTGTGATTATCAAATTATGCATCAACAGCTAAACTGGCTTATTAGCAAACTGCCAAAACTTAATTTTACATTTTGATGAGCAGATAGATTTGTTATGTACTGGGTTCATCTAGAAGCTATCCAAATGCCATTGTTCTTGAATCCAGATTTTCCATGTATTAAAATTTGCATACCCAAGATTTGATGCATAGCAAGATAAATGGAAGGAACAGATCCACGACTTGTAAGTAATGCATGAGCCTCCACAGTTGTAGAATCACATATCTAAAGTGGGTTCTGGTAGCTTTTGAGCTTCCTACCTTCATCTCTAAGAATCCCACCGAACATGTTGGCCTTAGATTATCTGTGACCATTCATTGATAGTTAGCTTCATGGTAGCCTCCAACTAAGCAACCCAATTTGCCTTGGGTTGAGGCATGGGTAGATCCGTAAGGCCAAAATCTTCGACTCCTTGAACAAGTCAATGACCTTGAGACCTTGAATTTCTCGTTCAAGCAAATCCTAGAATATCTCCATATTCCTAATTCACTCCTTAAGGACCAACTCATGCACCCTTTAATCCCCAAAAAATATGACTGTTCTACTCTCTTCAAATTCAGAAAGTAATAGCCGCAATGCTTAATTGCTAGAGCACCGACCCTTGGTGGGATTGCTATAGACACTTCACCATAAGGTCCTCCATTGAAGGTGCGTCACCCATTGCATGCCATAGAGGTTAAGAATGTGGGTCCATATGGTCATGGCATACCTAAAATGAATAGGAAGGGTGGTTTGTCATTTTCTCCATTGTCATCATCGTCATCCAAGCCTTACCCCGAACTATATTGTGTTTGCTGTACGAATCCTGTTCAGCCATTCCACTCCATCAAGGTCTATACCTCTAGTCACCATATATTTTCTCATTGCTTCCATCCATATTTTTTGGGGCTTTTCCTTTGCCTTTTTAAAGCCTTCCACTTGAACCAAATCACCCCTCCTAACTACTGTTGTTCTAGGTTGACATTGAACATGACTAGACCACCTAAGCTTATTTTTCTTATTTTATCTCATATTGGAACTATTCCTTATTTCCTTCTTTAGACATGTCATTTTCTCCTTAGTTCGACATAAAATACACATATGGGGAATCTGCATGCTTTGCCTTCGAGGGTAATCAACCGTTAATACACTAGCCGGCATGCCAACCATCCAAATGATGGAAACCTAGAGGGTGTGGAGAGAGAGAGAGAGAGAGAGAGAGAGAGAGAGAGAGAGAGAGAGAGAGCA